TTACTCGCTCAGCAGAAAATAATAGATCACCCATGTGAGTGGATCCATCTGCTCATTGAACCTGATATATCACCTGGTGACAGGATGCTGCATGGATCTGTGGTGGGTCCAACCAATTGCCCAGGCCTGGAAGGAGGTTTCAGCATCTTCTGAGTGTCAAGGAAATCCATGTACTGGAGAAGGACAAAAGCACCGATCCCAAACAAGGTTTCAAGAGAGGTCTGGTGGAGATCAGGATAATGATAGTGAAGATGTGAAGGGTCAGAACTGCTCTTAAAAGCATCTCCAAGAGTGTGACTTCTCTTCTTGGAGAGCAAGATCAGAAGTGTGGAAGATGAATCTTGTGTGCTTTTCGTTGGAGGTTAGGGGTTGGGTTTGTCACCTTCCTCCTCTGTTTCATTTGGAGTCTTCTGTGGGTTGTCCTGGGAAGACACTTGTGCCCTCTCATGGACTGACAGAAGTCTTATACCCAGGTGGCACCATGAAGTCAAGGCAGAGGAAAGCAGAACTCTTTCACGATGCTTTAATCCATGGTAATTGCTGCTTGATTATGGGTTTATCCATTCATTCTCCAAAGGACTTCTTCACAACACTGTTTTTCCACTGGGATAAAGGAAAAGCTCTCCTGAAACTGTGGAAATAGTTCCCATAGCCAGGGGAACTATTTATGTAGGAACACCTTTTATGTAGGTGTCCTCAGGGCTGTTAGATGCTCAACAGCTCCCATGCTATAGCTGGGAGAGCCTGGGGGAACTGGAGCACCGCTTAACCAGTGACTTCGTGATGGGCATCATTGACAGGTGCCTCCCCTGTCCGAGCTTGTTGACCTCAGGACTTAGCAATCCAGACTGTACGTATTAGTCCATTGGAGATGTGCTGAGATTTACACAGTAAATGTAGCTTGGGTTAGTTGGTTTTGATGGGAGAAGAGACAGACTAAGTCTTCCCTAAGAAAGGAGCAGGAGGGATACAGAGGAGGGTGCGAGGAGGTGAGGAGGAGCTGGGAAGGACTAAGGATGGCGTGGCCGTGTTTGCTGTATGCATTTCCGATGGCTGCGTGGAGGACGTATGCAGAGAGAAGGGTGGTGTGGCAGACACCGCTGTGCAGGGAAGAGGTACTTTCGAGTCATCTTATGAATAAGCCATAAGTTATGATGATCCCAAGAGATAGCTTGCAGGAAAGTGTATAATAGTTACAAGAAAAACCCTCCAGATTTACAAGCAGAATAAAATCCAAATTTGTATATTGGGGGGGGGGGGGG